CTGCATTTGTTTGCACCTGTCCTTAGTCAGGAACCTGTTTCAGTGGTTGTCGTTTGTTGATGTGGTTCTTAAGTGTTTCTCGTTTCTCGTTTTTTATATAGATAAGACCGTTGGTTTTCCTGTTTGAATTGTTTTATACTAGTCATTTTGGGGCCCTTTATAGCTTGCTGTTCGGTGTGAGCCAAGGCTCTGTGGTGAAGGCCGTACTTTGACCTATAATTGTTTACTTTTTACACATTGTTACTTGGATGGAGAGTTGTCTCATTGACACTCACACCACATCTTCTTATTTCTACATAAAGAGATTATACATACGATCTATTTGTCTGTATTTGATTTATTTTTACCAAACAGAGAATCTTTTTATTATTGATAATCCCTGAACATATTCCAGGGAATTTGTAAAATAATTTTTAAATTTTCAGTGCTTATATAAAATCACTGATCATTTTGATGGATTATATATAATCACTAATGATTCTACATAATCCCTGATTCTACAAATTCACTAGATGCCATAGTCCGATGTCAAAATAGGTAACGAAAGAAACTAAACAAAATGACAATGATAAATAAATTAACAAAGGACTACTATAGCAGTTACTGACATGTCAGCTCCAGACCTCAATTAAACTGATTAAAAGATTATGTCTTCATCATATGAATATCAGACACAATCCCTCCCGTTAGTGGTTTAGTATCATACCATCATAAAATATATGAGAAGAACATAACCCGTATCATGCCAACAACTGGTTTTATAATAAATGTGTTTATTTCCGATGCAAAGACCCTATAAGTGAATCAATATTAAAGTAAAAATATGCCATCTTTAATGACCTGACAACAGTATCGTAGCTATATCCCTTCTTAATAAGTCTGTTTAAAGGTTTTGTTAGCTTTAGAAGTAGTATACCGCTGTTCAATAGTCATAAATCGATTTAACTGAAACAAATCAGGGTCACAAACTAAAACCGAGGGAAACACATCAACTATAAGAGGAAACTGCTACAAAAACATACATAGAAACGGACTATTTGATAACAACTGCCATATTCCTGACTTGGTACAGGACATTTTAAGACAACCATTTTCTACATAAGAAAATGCCTGTACCAAGTCAGGAATATGACAATTGTTATCCATTTGTTTGAACTTTTGATTTTGCCATTTGATTGGGGACTTTCCTTTTTGAATTTTCCTCGGAGTTCAGTTTTTTTGTGATTTTACTTTTGAAACTGATTTTATGGCTAGCCAAACCTCGGGACGAGAGGACCGCTTATATGACAATGTTAAAAATACCGCTAAAATGACAACATTACGTGACAGGAATACATTACAACTAAACTCAAGAACACTCAGGACAGAGACATACATAAATAAATAATATAATAGTACATTACAACATGTAAACCACAGAATAACAACGGACACCTCCCATTTCAACGCCACAAAAAGTGACGTCACAGGTAAATCTCTAAAAATAGAATATAAAATTGGGACATACCCAACTATATCAGTCCTATTCAGGACCGATAACTCTGTCGATAAATATTGTCGGGTAAACAATGTTGTTGAAATCAGAGCAATTGTATTATATGTCTCTGTTGAAATGTATACAATAACAAATTTTTTTACACAAGTTTAACTTTATATCGATTTATTGAATGCCTGGATTTTGCTTAAAATATTGAATTAAAAAAATAAATAATAAAATCATATTCAATGAAATCTCGTTTAAATTTTTACGAAATAATACAAAATCCATTTAAATTAAAATTTGAATCAAAATATTTCTTAAAATAATTATAGAAACATAAATATTAGTTTGATTATCTTTTAAAGCAAAAATTATTTTTTTAAAGATTTTTTTTTATAATATTCATATTTTCTTAAAGTTTATTATGATACATACTTCTTCTGGTTTGACACGGGGAAGAGAAGAGATTTATTTCTACAGTTATGAAAACTTTTGTATATCACAAAATTTAAACTCTGGTAATACATGTATACACAGGATGTTTAATGTCACCTGGTTGCTTTTGGTTTGCACGTCTACCTGACAATATATTGTTATGTAACATTACATCCAAAGTCAGAGTTCACCTGTTCGTCAAGTGATGGGATTTTGAAGGTATGGAATATTTAGCTATAATAATTGTTGGGATTTTTTTCTCTCTTGGGACGTAAATACTTTTTTGTTCTAAAAGGAAAGTATAAACATATTTCTAAAGAAAGATGAATTATACAGAAAACAGGAAAAAAACCTTTTAAAAAAGAAGAGAAAAATTTTTATTATAAATTTTATTGTTAACAATTTTCTGGTAACAGTATATCCTGGATATCTGTCAAAATAAAATGTTCCCGTGTCACACTTAAAATAATATTTTTTTTATCAAGAAATTTTGAAATCAGTCATATCGAAATGTCACCAAAGAAAATAACAGAAACATCAGAGATTCTACATGAAAAATTAAATTTAATCAAGGAAAGTCTTACTATACAAATCCTCGATTTGATGCAACCTTTCCATATACATCATCCGCCATTTTGAAAAATCCCGAAATATTCACTTTTTTAAATCGATTTTTGACAGAAATTGCCCAGAAATTAAACTGTTTTAAATAGTATTTTTCGCCAGATATATGTTTGAATATACTTAATCGATTTGCAAAGTTTTATTTTTATTAACGGAATTTCTTTATTTGTTATACAAGTAGACATGGGTATCGGTACATTTAGCATTGAGTCAACGGAGAAATAACGAGAAAAAGTACATGTTTTTACGATTCTCCAGTGACAGAATTTAATCAAAAATTAAACTGTTAGGACCAACATTGTTTGATAGAAATATGTTTGAATATCAAGGATTGATTTGCAAAAGTTAGAAAACGGGTCAGGTTAATGAGAAAACTAAACTTTATTGAAGCACCTATGCATTTTATATGGGGCAATATAATACAAAATGGCGGCTAGTATACGTCACAAAAGTCACGTGATGTCTGACTTAGTTGGATATGTTGAGTTTGTAATGGTGTTATTTTATGTATTTTCTAACCATTACAAGAATATTAATATAGAATTGTGTTAGTAATGGTGTAACTATTTGTATTTTCTAACTATGTCGGTTTTTCTTCTAAATCAAAACTGTAAAAACAAATAAATCCTGTGCATATAGTAGCTTTAAACTAAAAATCATATAAATGAACTAGCTGATTAATTATCTTAACTTTTACATACATGTAGAAAATTAAAATAGAATTCAAACCACAAACGATAAGACAAAACACAATATCAAACCAGAATTACAAACGAAACATCGTAACTAAATACATGAATGTTGGATGTATAAAAACCGAGACACGTCTAATAGCAATGCGAATTCACACTCGGGAAAACAGTCATATTCGGGAATAGGTCACGTTCGGTACTTAGCAGACCAGACGACGTAGTTGGTAAACCACAATCTAAGACGTGGTAAAAATGTCGTTAGTTAGTTTAGACACAGACACATCGTATAGATCAATCAATTCGTGATGGGGTCCATAAAATTTACGGAGTGTCATTTTTAATCTTTCCTTCTCATAACTCTGTTTGAGCAGTTTCTGCGTAAGGAGCACACTCCTGTATATGAAGTCCTTATAGTGTGAACATGCACGAGCATAACGTGTCAACTGAGATATGCAAACACCATACGATGGGGCAGAAGGTATGTTACTGCTGAGAAATGGGAAATTGATAATTGGGAAGATGAAATCGTCCCGTTTGTCATAGATTTTAGTGTGAAGTCGTCCATCTGTGTCAATATTCAGGAAAAGATCAAGGTATGAAGCAGTCCTTCTAGTATCAGTAGTATCCTTAATTTCAAGTTCACTGGGATATATGAGATGTAAGTACTGATTGAATTATGGGTTATTCAGTGATAGGACATCATCAATATATCTGAAAGTAAAATTAAAGAATTTCGCAAGGTGCTTTTTCTTTTTATCTTTTAGAAGTTTCTGAATGAATTCTGCCTCATACGAGTACAAAAAAAAATCGGACAGTAGGGGTGCGCAATTAGTACACATTGGAATACCGACTGTCTGTTGAAATATCAATCCTCCAAACTCAACAAATATAGTGTCGATCAAAAAGTCCAGCATTTTGTTAATATCATTTTCAGTATATTTTCTGATAGCATCAGTGTGGTTCTTCACAAAATAAGAATTATTATAACCCAAAACAAGAAATTTATATCTTCGATTTCCATTTTTATAGAAAAAGCTCTGTTTGATGAGATGGTGAAGTCGATCTTTCAATTGAGCATGGGGAATAGAAGTCTAAAGCGTAGAAAAATCAAAAGTTTTAATGTTGCTGCAAAATTGCAGAGATTGTGATCTAAGATTTAGCAGTAGATCTTTAGAATTTTTAAGAATCCACATCTGATTGACACCACTGGTTGAATATATTTGATCACAATATTTTTGAAGGCCATCTTTTACTGTAGAAAGAATAGTAGTTAGCTCTTTTGAAAGATGTTTAGTTGAAAATCTTGTTGATCCAGCTATGTATCGTTCTTTATAAGGAGTTTTGTGAAGTTTAGGTATCCAGTATAATGACAGTAGATTTTCTTCGTTTTATTTGATGTTAATACCAAAAGTGAGAAAGACATATTTGTAATTTTGTAAAATTTCATCCTTTGGAAATGATGTTAAAGAATATGTAGGATTACCAGTTTTGCTGTTTATTCCAAGCTCTTTTGTGAGACATTCCAAGTAATGGTTTTTACATATGAAGACTGACAACACGAACCCTTCCAAAATCTGGGGGTGATCTCAGGTGCTCCATAAGGGTTAGGCAGCACGCAATCGCGGATTGGTAATTGGCTCTAATCTAACCCTAAGACATCACCAAATTCGTAATACATCGGTCATGTAAATTTTCTAACCCTGAAACCTGACCGAACGTGAAATATTCGTAAATTCAGTGCTCGAAATAAAACACAGGAAATTCGAAAATTCAGTATATTTTAATGTTAATTCATTGTTTTCTCTCATTGAATATATCATAAATGTTACAATAAAAGGTAGAAATGTTGTTCCTTGGTGTAATTCAGATTGCTTTATTAAACGTTATCATTCCTTGCAGGTAACATGCAGGCATATATAGTGTATGTTGGAGATCTGGAGGGGGTCTGGGAACATTTCATGAAAATCGACAATATCTAAAAATGTTTGACACAATCGTTTTCTGGGTTCCCAATTATTTTCACGTAAACAAAAATTTTGTCAATATGCTGGAACTATAAACAACTACTAGTATCATAAGAGTGGGAGGTTTAACTAGCCATACAACCAGGTTTAACCCACTATTTTTTTTTATTTTGAAAATGCCTTTTCCAAGTCCGGAATATGACTTGTTTCCCATTCGTTCACTTGATTGCTATAGTTGAGCATTTAGTTCGGTCTGGTTTTATTGACATTTTTTAATAATTTAATTTTGGATGTAACGCGTCTTCTGATTGGCTGACGTTGTTTTCTTTATCAGCGCATAGACATAATTTTGTCATGTGACCATGACGTCATCAACGTTTTTTCATGGTTTACTCAGCTTTAACATGGAATTTAGAATTAAATTATAAGAAATGACTGTAATATTTTTTCTGTCTATTCGAAATAACATAAAAAATGTGGTGCACACTTTAAAATAACCCGCTACGCGAGTTATTCAGTGTGCACCACATTTTTGATTTTATTTCTTCATAGACAGAAAAAAGATTACAGTCATTCCTTAAATCAACCTTGGAGTTCGGTATTTTTGTTAATACTTTGCTTTCTTCTAGATATTGTTTCAGAATACTATACAGCTATCCGAGGGTGTATGTACCCTTCAAGATTGAACTCTTTACTGTAATGCAAAAGCGTACATTACATTGCGGTTAGAAGGTGAATACCATTCTGCCACTATTAATATACAAATTATTTACAAAAAAGTAGAAGACGTAACATCAGCGGTCATAATTTGTCTCAGTAGGAAACATCTGTAAACGACAGTAGCAATGAATAAAAGATGTTAAGTATGCTTCAGAGAAGCAGCATCTGGTGCAGTAAGAATTGTCATTTTGAAATAACAACAATGAAATAAACGAATTAGTAAATTACATCTGTGTATAACTCAAGAGTAGCGATGTACAGCAAATATATAAAGTTCCCCCAGCTTAATCTTTACTTAACACAGTTATGCGGATTTATACATGTACACAAATGTGAAGATTTCAATCGAAAAGAACAGTTTTCATGTTTTCATAATATGTACATTACAAACATTAGAAACAATCAGATCTCTCTCGTTAACATTTTTGTCCAAATGATTTCATCAAAACTTGGTAGATGGTTCAGATAAGTCCGATTCGTATCCTTTATTCTCAAGGCCATTTGTGATTGGCTGATTAAAATAAGGTTTCTTCTCAGCGTCGACAACATAAGCGGCCTGTGGGTAAGCATGTGTGATTGGTTTAGCATATCTTCCAGTTTTGTTTTCATCCAGAGCTGGTCCCCAGTTGGGTCTTGGGGAACACATCTAAAAGAGAAAAGTAGACAATCGGTACTTCACATTGAATGTGGTAATGTTGTGCACATAAGGTCATCATAAAATCGTTCTAAGAAAATAGTTAAAGGTTATTTCTTTGCCTTATATTTAAAACATGGCATCTTCAGTCTGTTTTAAAACGCTAGAACGAAATTATAGGTAATTTCATTGTTGGTATCCCAACATAGAAAAATCAATCACAACGTTTTGGTGTACGCTATTGATAATTTTACCTATAATATATTGGGTTCTGAAATGAGAATAGAACTAAGTCTTACTACACAAATATTCATAATCATAAATATCCATGGTAAACATAGAGAGTTATTTTTTAAGGACTTTTTTAAAAGTGACAAGATCACGAAAACTCCGAAATTGTCGATATTATCAAATATGTATAATACCATTTTGAGTGGTTGTTAAATAACTTGTGATTTTGTTGCAAAGTGGTGTATTGATAATATACTTGTAGATGGTACGGTGGTATCTTCAATGACTCTAGAAATATACAGTTTATTCAGTGTATGTTTACTTGTTTTTGTTTAAATGTCTTTTTGATCGAGTTAAGCTATTTCAATTGATATTTTATAGTGTGTCTTTTTATGTTGTAATGTTAAACTACTGTCTCAGGTTAGGGTGAAGGTTGGCGCCTGTTAAAACGTTTAAACCCGCTGCATTTTTATGCACCTTTCCTAAGTCAGGAGCCTGTTGTTCAGTGGTTGTCGTTTGTTGGACAGGTGTAGTTCATAAGTGTTTCTCGTTTCTCGTTTTTTATATAGATTAGACCGTTGGTTTTCCTGTTTGAATTGTTTTACACTAGTCATTTTGGGGCCCTTTATAGCTTGCTGTTCGGTGTGAGCCAAGGCTCCGTGTTGAAGGCCGTACTTAGACCTATAATTGTTGACTTTTTATATATTGTGACTTGGATGGAGAGTTACCTCATTGGCACTCATACCACATCTTCTTATTTATATTATCTGAATTTCGGAATACGTTTGTCCATTTTTTAACTTAATATTCTCGATATTCGTTGTTTTTCATTTTTGTTTAACATACAATTCTTATATTTAATTTGCATATTTATACAAATACTTGAATAATGTTGATTTGTTATAATTGCTCCCTGTTAATGAAACTACTTTCGTTACCAATGTTAACACTATGTCGATTACATTGTTCTAAGAAGTGTGATATCTAAAAAGAACATACATAACTTTGGGTTGAGAATGACAAGGATTAAACACATTTTTGTCAAGAGGTTATTGATGTGTAACCCATGCCGCTGACTCAACAAACTTAGTCCGGGTTGTGAGTTAATCGACAAGATTACACATCAATAATAACCAGTAGAAAAATGAGTTTAATTATTCAATGTACAAGCTTACCCCTCTATTGTCTTTGAACAACAGATGATATATAAACCATCCAGGAATGAAAACCAAGGGACAAAGAACAATTAACCAGCCCAATGCATTAGCCCAATCTGGGTACATATATGACCCCATTGCTGTAGGTTCATACTGGATAGCTTTTAGTACAATCACAACCTACAAAACAAGAAAAAAATCAATATTTTCATACAAAAAAAATCGCATCTAGGAGGGTATGCATGGGTGCGGAGGTGGGTCATTTCTGTTTCTTTAAGTTTTAAGGCAACTTTTCTCTTTTCTTTATTATTCGTCCATTATTCTCCGTTTTAGATTTTAGCACTCCATTATTTTCTTTTCTTTATTTGTAGGCCTATTTTTCTGTATTCTTTAATTTTTGGTCTATTTTTCTCTATTCTTTATTTTTTTGTCTGTTCCCAATCCAGACCCTCTTTTTTTATTATTATTATTATTATTATTACAATTTTTCTATAGCGCTAAATCTAAAACAATATTACTCAAAGCGCTTTACATCACATGTTAAACGAAATATACACACAGACAGTGATAAAAATATAAAACATGAACACACAAAATAAATATTTAAGTGTTAAAACTTTTCTAGATAAAAGGATTAATAATGTGGAAATTTTTACAAAAAAGTGGAATATATATATCAATGAATCAAAATAAAATTATACTGAATAAAGTTGGTAAAATAAATAGCCAAAAAAGTCTAAAATAAGATTGCTATTAAAAATTATCAAATATAAGTTAAAAATTTGAAAACGTATTCAAAAGATGAAAAAGGAATATTACCATGTAAAAATATAATTACTGAAATGAAAAATATGTGTGCTACTAAAAACATACAATGTACATATTATAAATGAAACATATCTCCAGTTAAAAGAAAGGTTCGATAAATCAAAAGCAGGCTAACGTCTATGGCACAATGTATCACACAAACGAATTTAAGGGATTAAAAATGCTTGTCGAAAAAAGTGAGTTTTTAAGTTCTTTTTGAATACAGGCACCGACTTTGCATTTTGAAGTTTTTTTGGTAATGCATTCCAAAGGATGGCCGCTGCTTGATCAAATCTTCTATTGCCGTAGGTTTTGGTTCGCACAATAGGAGTTACGAGTGTTAAGTTGTTTTCAGACCTTAATGATCTTGATGGCCTGTATAAATTTACAAGTTCACTAAGATATAATGGCGCTTCATGTTTCACGGACTTGAATACATATAATAATATTTTGTATTGCACCCTGTATTGCATAGGCAGCCAGTGAAGAGACTCAAGTGTCGAAGTAATGTGTTCGTATTTCTTTTTTCTTGTAACCACTCGCACAGCAGTGTTCTGAACCCTTTGTAGTCTCTGAATCATGTAAGCTGGTAGTCCATAGAGTAAAGCGTTGCCATAATCCAATCTAGAAATAATTAACGAATTGACCAGAGTTTTACATGCATCCTCGTTGATGTACGGACGTATGCGGCCTATATTTCGTATTTGATAAAAACATGATCTCGAAACTGAACTGACTTGGTTTATAACTGAATCCTCATATAGACTGATTTTATGATGAACAGACTTCATTTAAACCATTACTTCCTAAATTTAAAAAAAACCTGGTCGCTTTAGAATTTTTAATGCCATAGTATTCATTAGCTTATACGCCTTTGGGGTTTGCTCATTGTTGAGGGCCATATAACTGTATACATCTTGGCCCTTTGGTTTCTGTTAGTTCTCCTAATCGTTACTTTAATTAAGTTGTTGTACATTATATAAAACATTGCTTTATTTTCGACAATAAATGTCTTCAGTAATGCTCGAGACCATCATATATAAAAATCAAAAACCTATTAAAAATGAAAAGCTTATAAACCAAAAAGGACGAACAAGTATAGCCAAAGTCGGGCAAGGATTCAGTCATAAACCAAAAAGGACGAACAAGTAAAAGGACGAACAAGTATAGCCAAAGTTGGGCAAGGATTCAGTTATAAACCAAAAAGGACGAATAAGTATAGCCAAAGTCGGGCAAGGATTCAGTTATAACCCAAAAAGGACGAACAAGTAAAAGGACGAACAAGTATAGCCAAAGTCGGGCAAGGATTCAGTTATAAACCAAAAATGACGAACAAGTATAGCCAAAGTCGGGCAAGGATTCAGTTATAAACCAAAAAGGACGAACAAGTATAGCCAAAGTCGGGCAAGGATTCAGTTATAAACCAAAAAGGACGAACAAGTAAAGCCAAAGTCGGGCAAGGATACAGAGCTTTCTATTAGGGAGATATATATATAATTCCTCAATTTAATTTAAAATAAGTTTAAAATTTTCTAGTATTTATTTTTTACTAGTACACTTCGACTGCTTACCTAGTACTTTAAAAATTGTAGAAAATTAAGAAATGATATAATGTTATGTACAATCATTAATTAATCTAATGGTATGCACCCTTTATTTGCTACTTTTTTATTCGAACTTTGAGCTGTATTCGGTCAATGATTTAAATAAGTATCAATGGTTTAAATTTTGATAGTGACTTAGTGTTAGGCAAGATGCATGTACCAATTCTCTTTTGCATGAAGCAGCATCAACTGTTACCTTTCTTAATCACCTAAGTTCCAAACCGTGTTTAATGGGGTTCGTGTTGCTAATGTTTTAATTTCTTGTGGAAAATTGTTTGTCTTTTCAACTGTTTCCCCTGGATATGGTGTTGAGTTTATTTCTTGCCCTTCGGCTTTTGAATTTTTATCTTTTTTTCTATCAAAGATAATTCAGTTTATTTCAAGACTATTACAGGAAAGCCCGATGAATCTTAACCAATGAAACCTTTGAAGAGAAAGAAAACAATATCAATTGGTTTATAACCACAAACCCTCATCACAGTCTTCAGCTACAAGACACAGAATTAAGAACAGAATTTCCAAACTGAAACATTAACATTGACATTCTAGATAAAGCTAGTGTTCGTTTATGATGAATAGCCTATAAAAAAAAACCATACTGCAAGATAGTAACATTGGCACCAGATGCGCATTTCGATAATGTATGTCTTTTCAGTGATGCCCTATGTCACAATATTTGAAAATTAAAAAACCTAATACACACTTTGAAGAACTGATATAACCGAAAAGGACCAAGCAATATAGTCAAACACAGTCTATACATGATGGAGATACATTCCTTAATCTAAAATGATTTTCCCTAATTTATAAGAGAAAATTTCAATAAAACAATAATCGTATTTTCATGCCAGTATAAAAGTGTTGAGGTACGGGGATGGTTATATTCTCGGGGACTAACACTCAAATGCTAAATTTTCTTACTGCAGTTTTTGTACCAAGAACAAATGCTGTTACACTGATAATTTAAAGAAATGATTTTAATCTTGAAAACGTAACAATAGCGCTATTGCGGAATGTTCATAACACTTAAGCGTTTTACATGTATTTGGAAGGGAGATAATTTTTGTCACCAGGTTTCTCATTTTTTTGTTTATGTTGAGATTTCACCTGTTCCATTGGTACTCTTCTAGATTTTTTTCCCGCTTATGTTTAAAGTGAGGTGTCAATTCTGGCATTGGCACTCTACTAAATTTTACGCTACAAACAGCTAATGCTACAGTTGAAACGTCACTAGTTTCTTCAATTCTTTTCTATAATAACCTTAGGTTACTACTGTTCTTCGGTATGATTCTATTGTTTACTGTACTTGCCACTAACACTACACGTGAGATAGCACATGTCCCTCGATACATTTCTATTCCTATACATAACTTACCGCTAATGCTACGGGTGAGATGACGCACCACGTTGGGGCAAAGAAGAAGAATGTTACTTTAACTGGTAGTGAATTTCCCATCATCATTTCAATGTCTTTTCTAAATCTGAAAAACCCTGAAAAATAATAGAGAAACTTGTTTTAACTCGATATATATCGATGCCTCAAAGTCATCACTTTTTGTCAGTTTTCAGATCAAATAATTCTTAGTTGCGATTTTTAAGCTATTACACCAAACATTTACCAATAGTTATGGATGCTCTAATTAGCTAAGTTGTTGCAGGGAGCATACTTTGAATCTCTTTCCAAATCATGGGCCCCTCTTTGATCTTTTATTCATATTAATGGTCGCAAATCAAATCTGTGCCTATACTTTGTGTTTGACATTTCTTCTTTGTATTGTTAATATAAAAATAAGAAGATGTGGTTTGATTGCCAATGAGACAACTATCCAACACAGTTAAAATGAAGTGTACTGAGTAGGCAATTATATGCCTGTATGCGTCGACATTTGTATTGTTAACTTACCATATATGTAGGACATTTTAAATGTGTTCCTTATACTGTATGCGTCGACATTTGTATTGTTAACTTACCATATATGTAAGACATTTAAATATGTTCCGTATACTATACGCGTCGACATTTGTATTGATAACTTACCATACACTACAAAAGTCTAAAAGTCTGAAAAGACCAGTTTTTGTCTTAATTTGCATGAACTTTTACTCGACATTCTCTAAAAGTATGACTTGTGTCTTAATTTTTCTTGACAAATTCTCATTTATATTAAATTTGTATGAAATTTACTCGACATATTCTCGACATTCTGAATATGGTCTTAAAATTTCTTGACAAATTCTTGACATTTGAATACTGTCTTGAAATTTCTCGACATATTCTCGACATTCTTATTTTTTCTCAGTATGGCTTGACATATTCTGAACATTTTGAATCGTGTCTTAAATTTACTTGACAGTTCTGAGTTTTACAAATCATGACCAATATTCATGATATAACTTTAATCTTTATTTCTCTTTATATGATATACTGTTGTTTCAAGTCACACTTCTTGACAACAAAAATAAAAGTTGGGCATGTAAAATAATTGAAAATTTGGGTATATAAATATTTTTACAAATGCAAATATGGCTATGAAATCTAAAGTATAAAATAATTAAAATGTGGGTGTGTTGATATAAAACAATTTCAATGTGGGTTTTTAAATAATTACAAATTTTGATTCCTAAATCTTATAAATTAAATGATTCAAACCAATCATACTGTAGACATATTTCAAATGTAGGACAGAAAGTCACAGGACAAAAAGTCACGGACGAAAAGTCACAGGACAAAAAGTCACAATTGAGTTTTGAGATTATTTTTCTCTGAACAAGTAAACACTAATTTTAAAAATAAATTTTTTCTTGAACTATAATATATGAAGCAACTTTGTAATCAAAATTTATTCAATAAATATCAATGATGATCAAATAATTGTTATGATAACAAAATGTCAAAGTGGTTTGGCACTTAAATGGCTTCTTGGTGCCAAGAAATATATCATTTGCATGATTAAAATTTAATAATTTTTCATTTATCAAGGCTTATGAACAATTTCCTAAACTTAAAAATGAATAAATGTAAAAAAAGAAATTATTTGAAGATCTTTCTCTTATATATTCAAACAATTGTCAACAAATTATTTGTGACTTTTTGTCCTGTGACTTTTTGTCCTATTCAATTTGTGACTTTATGTCCTGTGACTTTTTGTCCTGTGACTTTCTGTCCGTTTATAATTACCCATATTTCATTCTACATTCATATTATTCAATGTTGATATGGTAAATAATTATTATACCAAAATGTGGTTTATATAAATAGCAAATTATGATGATATACAAATCATTCATTTAACGGAAGAAAAATTCATGTAATGTCATCTGTTGGAATATATTAAGTATTACACATGGACAGGATGTTCCCCATAAAATTAAGGTATTCAACACCCCAGAGTACACGCAACTGTCAAATAGAAGTTATCATTTTGCTTTACCTGTAATCAGCCATACAACTTATCAGTTGACTGACCATGCCACTACAATTTAAAAAGTTTGTTGATAGATGAAAATGAAAATCATCATTTTGATGAAAAAAAATTGAATTGAAATGGATTTTCTTCATCAAAATTATGAAGTTAATTATTTTAACATAAAAACAAATTGAATAATTCCCAAAGATTAAAAGAAAATTATTATCTACTCCAGGAATAATAAACAAAATGTATTTATAATGGGTCCCATCAATGATTTCTATAGAAATCATCGGTCTTATGAAATGGTTCTCAAACAGACATGCTTAATATAGATCTAAACATTTTTTTCTTTTCAGGAAGGAGTTATCACAAATATTATAATCAAGATGGGAACAAATTCTTTGACCTAAACGAAAGCCCCCTCCCCCCCCCCCCTCTTTTTTTAGCCACACAAACCCAAAAGATGAATTGTGGGGTCCAAAAGAGATACAAGACACTTATTTTAGTAAAGCAAATTTGACTGGCAGTTTTGCGAACGGCAAAAATCTAAATGCTGTTTGTCAATACCTTCGACTTATATTCCAAGTGAAAACAATTACTTAAATGTTTAATAAAAAATAAATCAAAATTAAACTACATGGGGGACTATTCAGTGTATTCCAACTTAGTTGCACCAAAAGGTATCTTACTATACCAAATTAATCCTTGATTCTTCAAAGTTAAGTTTAGCCATAATAAAAAGGAGTATATAACAGCAATAGAATGTCATAAACAGTGCAGAATAAGTCTGTTCACATTTCAGGCGAAATTTATACTGTTGAGATAGTGTCAAGATATATTTAAGACTGTCAAGAATGTGTCGAGACATATTCAGACATTATTTAGAATGTCAAGAATATGTCGAGACATATTCAGACATTATTAAGAATGTCAAGAATATGTCAAGACAGATCGAGACAAATTTAAGACAGTCAAGAATTGGTCGAGACTAATCCAGACTCTTATCAGATGATACAGGAAGTGTCGAGAAATTTTAAGACAATGTTCATACTGTCAAGACACTTGTCAAGAAAAATCAAGAACCTTATTAGACAAATTCATACTATGTCAAGAATTTTTAAAAATTATTCAGACAAATTAAGAATGTCGAGTAAAAATTCATGCAAATTCAGACAAAAAACTGGTCTTTTCAGACTTTTTGACTTTTGTAGTGATATATGTAGGACATTTAAATATGTTCCGTATACTGTATATATACGTCGACATTTGTATTGTTAACTTACCATATATGTAAGACATTAACGTAAGTTCGAAGAGACCTACGAATAACAAAGGGAAGCCACCCACGTACGTATCACACAGATTCAGCATGTATAATCCTCCCTGGAACAAATCAGAATCATTATAGTTATTACAGAAAGCAGATCGAAAGAAAAGCAAGGACAGACGAAGGCCGGAATAGGAAGTTATTTCACTCCGTCAGGCAAAATTAATCTTAGATGGATATGGCTACTAGTATTCTTTTAGGTTCTATTTGGTTATATAGCTCTTCAATTGTTTAGGTTCTTATACATCCCTGGCTTTTAAATATTCAGCTTTGAGCGTTCCTGATAAAGGTACATCTAGATAAGCGATTCGGACGCATGGAATCTATGGAGTGTTTTTTTTCCGCTTTTCATATGATATCAGCTAGCATAAATGTTATTGAGGCTACTACATGTATAACACATGTCTTAAAGTAGTCTTTGTTTAAAATACTTAATGAATAGAAATGGAATAACCGATGAAATTCGCCAATGTATTTAACAAAAGAATTGAAGCAGATAAAATTGTCTGTTTTTACGGAAACAAATAATCGAAGGCAAAAGTTATCAACATCTATACAAGAAGAGGATAATTTAATTACTAAAATATTTTCAATAACAAACAACTATATATAGATATGCATAGGTAATATTGCATGATGTAAATACACTGTGCAGTATGGGCTTTGCTCATTGTTGAAGGACGTACGGTGACCTATAGTTGTTAATTTCTGTGTCATTTGGTCTCTTGTGGAGAGTTGTCTCATTGGCAATCATACCACATCTTCTTTTTTATATAACTAGTGTGAAACAGGGTCAGTGCGGAAAATTCCAAATAAAGAAATTAAGTCAACACGAATTATATTTAACAATACAAATATGAATTTAATAACCTAACAAATACGTAACCTCGTAACTATTGGCAAACCTAACAAATACATAACCTTGTAACCATTGGCAAACCTAACAAATATATACCCTCGTAACCATTGGCAAACCAAACAAATACGTACCCTCGTAACCATTGGCAAACCTAACAAATACATACCCTCGTAACCATTGGCAAACCTAACAAATACATACCCTCGTAACCATTGGCATACCTAACAAATACGTACCTTCGTAACCATTGGCAAACCTAACAAATACATACCCTCGTAACCATTGGCAAACCTAACAAATACATACCCTCGTAACCATTGGCAAACCTAACAAATACATACCCTCGTAACCATTGGCAAACCTAGCAGAAAGAAGAAGGCGCAAATACCAAATCTGAACATATATAGCCGAATTTTAGGTTTCATTATATAATGCTTCATTTCGTCAACAAGACCTGTAATAACTGTTTCTGTGATTGAAAACTGAAAAGAAATAACATATATCAATATGTGTTTAACTTTCAATCTTAAACACCACATCATGCAAATTTATGGTCAATAATGTAGGGTTATGGCATGGACATTGGTGAATATTGTCCGGGTCTGGTCAATAATGTTGGGTTCTGGCATGACTGTTGGTGATTGCGCTCACCAGTGAAATAAGACATGACATTCAACATTGGACTCATTTCCTACTATGAATGATTCTCAAAATGGATATAACAGTTTTTTTCATTCGACATTCGTTTATAACTTATGTCGCACCTGCAATAGTATATGATTATTGATGTTCGTTATCTAAATTTCATATTGATGGTTTAGCTTTGAATTGATGACAAATATCACGAATTGATTTCTTAATAATTATAATCAAATATGTCTGCTGATGCTTCCTGTTACGTCTGGGAAATCTAAGTGTATTTCTTTTTTTTAATCAGGGTGAAAAATCAATTGGTACGTTTTTATATCCTATTCCTTCCTTTTTTGCGGAAATTAACGAACAACTACGGAAATGAACGAATATCAGTAATTAGTCTTACCAGTGAGCTAAATCCTAATGTCATCATCATAAAAAAGAACAAAATCGCCCATAATGGTGATACAGGCATTTGTGCGAGAGCCTCTGGGTATACGACGAATGCCAATCCTGGTCCTGTAAATGTAAAACAAAAATGTTCAGCTGGATATACAGTTGTTTTTATGTAATATACCAAATTGTAATAAGTACACAGTAAGAATTACATAATTATTCAATTATTTTCCTAAATAAATCTCTTATATCAAAAAAAATTGACAACGAATTATCCACGAATTACCATTCATATAAAATGAACAGGCAATGAATATTTACAATGAATATCTAAAATGAATGAAGATGAATTAAATTGAATTATCAATGAATTAACAACGAATCATCAATGCATTAATTAAGAAATAATTCATGGAAGCCATAGATTTGTTGGAAATTTACACATGGCCTGGGCCGTGATATTCGAATTTTATCCTGAGCGTAAGCGAGGGATAAAATTAACGAATATCACGGCCCAGGCCATGTGTAAATTTACAACAAATCTATGGCTTCCATGAATTATTTCGATTCTAACAGGACAAATACGGTCATTAAAAAACTGAAGCGAGGGTGGGTCTGCCGTGTGTGTCGCTATTCTTTTTTACTCCCTGTTTGATAAAGCTTAAACTTTCTAATAAATATGTAACTTGCAGCAAATATATCGCAAATAACTGCTAGAAAAAATGTGTTTAATTCTTTTAACTCTCAAACCCAACATTTGCCATTTGCAATTTACATGTTTTTCTCGTAAGCTACCGTCAAATTCAAAGTTGACATTTCGTAACTAAGGAGCCGCCATGTTGACTTGCTGAAATCAGTAAATATGTGAATAATGCAATAGAATAGAAAATAAAACAAACCCTACCTCAAAAATTCCTTTTAATGCAATATTATACGAACTTCCATGGTTCACGTAACGGAAAAAACCTTCAGCTTTAGCGTTTTCATTTGTATGACGTCATGTTTTGAAATGACTTAAATGCGCCAAAAGCATTAACGGACTTTCGCGGAATTTATATTTATTTTGATTTTGTAGATTTCTCTGAGCTATTGTGCATTTTTTTTGTTATGCATCCGAATAAGAATAGAAGTTCTGTAGTCTTTTTTCAATTGTAATTTTTAAAACAATAGAATCGGTATAGCGTTTGAAAATAAGTTCCGATACATGAGGATTTACGTAGGAGGTATTTTGTAACATCCATTATTATGTATATCTCTGAGTCTGCGCTAAGTATAGATATATCGAGTATTTTATCATGGTGTTGTTTACAAAGCGAAAGAAGCACGTCATATTAGAATAAAGAATTAACAACAAATTAACAACGAATGAACAATCATAGGCGGATCCAGGGGGGGGGGGGGGGGGGGGGGGCTGGGGGGCCCGGCCCCCCTTTCGTAAAAAAAATTTGATTGATTATATAGGGAATCACTGAAGCGTGACTGGAGCGCCCCCCCCCCCCCCCCCCCCCCCCCCCCCTTTACAAAAAGTTCTGGATCCGCCACTGAGTCAATGCAGTAACAATTAATTAACAATAGATATAGGAAGATATGGTATGAGTGCCAATGAGACAACTCTCCATCCAAGTTACAATTTATAAAAGTAAACCATTACGGCCTTCAACACGGAGCATTGGCTCACACCGAACAGCAAGCTATAAAGGGCCCCAAAAAATTACTAGTGTAAAACCATTGATAATGAATTAACAATGAATGAGCAATGAAATAACAATGAATGAGCAATAATATAACAATGAATGAGCAATGAATTAAGTTATATAGATACAATGGATAAGCGTGGATTCTTGAAAAAGAAACCATGAGCCCGGAGGGCGCGTGGTTTCTTTTTCAAGAATCCACGCTTATCCATTGTATCTTTAACTTAAACTATTGTGTTAATTTCTTTTCAAAATTAAAGCCTTTTCTTAATTAGAAGGTATTGTAAGTGAGTTTAAATAACCATGTTATCGTGTCCAACGATGCATTGATAAATCTCATGCAGATCACAATTAATTGGTTAACAAAAAACAAATATAACACTTCTACCTTTAAAGATCTTTATATTAACAGGCATCTGAATATTATCTGTTTTTACAGAATAAGACATATTCGAACTTATTTCTAATAAAATTGAGAATGGAAATGGGGAATGTGTCAAAGAGATAACAACCCGACCAAAGAGCATATATAAAGTATATATAATAAGTATGTTACCGAAATTTCTAGCACTCTAGGCACATCACGATTTTCTCGCATAGGAATTTGCGAGCAAACATTTGTAAAATTATGTAGTAAACCAGATGAAATCATACTATATTTATACAACAAAAATTGACAAATAGAATGTAATCATTTTTGTTTCAAACATGTGAAATAGCCAATAATAATCCAAAAAATAAACGGTAAAACTCGCTATTATGACAAAAATATCCACAAAAACATGCAAAATTAGAAAAAAAACAGAATTGGGACAACAGAGATAATACAGGGATTCGAACCTAAACCGACAAATCCCTATCTTTTAACTCGTTGATTTAAAGCATGCTAACCTCGCGGCTACAAACTTATACTATACGACTGCCCATTGTGTCGTAAAGGTACAACCCCTGTGTGTCCGATGTTCGATGTTCATTTATATATATAAAATAGACATCTAAGTTGTAACCCATTGGTAGCCGAGAGGTTTCGTCGATGTGTTGATGTCAGTCATTCATAACAGATTTCAAGGAAGGGTTCGATTCCCAGTGAAGGCATATACAAATTACAAAAATTAAAGGTAAGTTTTTAAATTAATTCCATTAGTGAACAGAAATCAGTAAATTAGCCAATTCAAACTTAATGAAATTAGACACACAAAGGAAACAATTGAATATAATTTGGTGGGTCCATTTCAGTGGCAGATTTAGGAAGCGTTGATTCTAGAAAAAGAATCCAGGTAAATGAATAGGCTGACGTCACCACAATGGTTTAACAATGAATTGACAATGAATTAACAATGAATGAGCAATGAAATAACAATGAATCAAAATGAATCAACACCAAATTAACAACGAGTAAACAATGAATGAAAAACGATTTGATAACAAATGAAAAATGCATTAACAATTAATTAATGTTGATTTAATCGGTACTTAAGAAAAATATGGAAAGGTGATCAATGCATTGAATACAAAACTTGTAAAATCGGCCCAAAAATTCAATCATTCGTTGCCTGTCAAACACATTAACAATCACGGAGTATTTTCGGGAGTTATAGGACAACAGTCAAATGTCTTTACTCTGTGTCGAGCTCTGACCTTCCCGCGTCTTGACAAGTAAAAGAAACATTTAGTGTATAAGTAAACTAAAGATCTGCTATCAACTATCTTATCTCCAGCCGCTACTTTATCCATTAAGTAAACTAAAGATCTGCTATCAAGACAATTATCTTACCTCCAGCCGCTACTTTATCCACTAAGTAAACTAAAGATCTGCTATCAAGACAACTATCTTACCTCCAGCCGCTACTTTATCCACTAAGTAAACTAAAGATCTGCTATCAAAAAACTATCTTGCCTCCAGCCGCTACTTTATCCATCAAGTAAACTAAAGATCTGCTATCAAGACAACTATCTTACCTCCAGTCGCTACTTTATCCATCAAGTAAACTAAAGATCTGCTATCAAGACAATTATCTTGCCTCCAGCCGCTACTTTATCCACTAAGTAAACTAAAGATCTGCTATCAAGACAACTATCTTACCTCCAGTCGCTACTTTATCCATCAAGTAAACTAAAGATCTGCTATCAAGACAACTATCTTACCTACAGCCGCTACTTTATCCACTAAGTAAACTAAAGATCTGCTATCAAGACAACTATCTTACCTCCAGCCGCTACTTTATCCATCAAGTAAACTAAAGATCTGCTATCAAGACAACTATCTTACCTCCAGTCGCTACTTTATCCATCAAGTAAACTAAAGATCTGCTATCAAAAAACTATCTTGCCTCCAGCCGCTACTTTATCCATCAAGTAAACTAAAGATCTGCTATCAAGACAACTATCTTACCTACAGCCGCTACTTTATCCACTAAGTAAACTAAAGATCTGCTATCAAGACAACTATCTTACCTCCAGTCGCTACTTTATCCATCAAGTAAACTAAAGATCTGCTATCAAAAAACTATCTTGCCTCCAGCCGCTACTTTATCCATCAAGTAAACTAAAGATCTGCTATCAAGACAACTATCTTACCTACAGCCGCTACTTTATCCATCAAGTAAACTAAAGATCTGCTATCAAGACAACTATCTTACCTCCAGCCGCTACTTTATCCATCAAGTAAACTAAAGATCTGCTATCAAGACAACTATCTTACCTACAGCCGCTACTTTATCCATCAAGTAAACTAAAGATCTGCTATCAAGACAACTATCTTACCTACAGCCGCTACTTTATCCACTAAGTAAACTAAAGATCTGCTATCAAGACAACTATCTCCAGCCGCTACTTTATCCACTAAGTAAACTAAAGATCTGCTATCAAGACAACTATCTTACCTACAGCCGCTACTTTATCCACTAAGTAAACTAAAGATCTGCTATCAAGACAACTATCTTACCTCCAGCCGCTACTTTATCCATCAAGTAAACTAAAGATCTGCTATCAAGACAACTATCTTACCTCCAGCCGCTACTTTATCCATCAAGTAAACTAAAGATCTGCTATCAAGACAACTATCTTACCTCCAGTCGCTACTTTATCCATCAAGTAAACTAAAGATCTGCTATCAAAAAACTATCTTGCCTCCAGCCGCTACTTTATCCATCAAGTAAACTAAAGATCTGCTATCAAGACAACTATCTTACCTACAGCCGCTACTTTATCCACTAAGTAAACTAAAGATCTGCTATCAAGACAACTATCTTACCTCCAGTCGCTACTTTATCCATCAAGTAAACTAAAGATCTGCTATCAAAAAACTATCTTGCCTCCAGCCGCTACTTTATCCATCAAGTAAACTAAAGATCTGCTATCAAGACAACTATCTTACCTACAGCCGCTACTTTATCCATCAAGTAAACTAAAGATCTGCTATCAAGACAACTATCTTACCTACAGCCGCTACTTTATCCATCAAGTAAACTAAAGATCTGCTATCAAGACAACTATCTTACCTACAGCCGCTACTTTATCCACTAAGTAAACTAAAGATCTGCTATCAAGACAACTATCTTACCTACAGCCGCTACTTTATCCACTAAGTAAACTAAAGATCTGCTATCAAGACAACTATCTTACCTACAGCCGCTACTTTATCCACTAAGTAAACTAAAGATCTGCTATCAAGACAACTATCTCCAGCCGCTACTTTATCCACTAAGTAAACTAAAGATCTGCTATCAAGACAACTATCTTACCTACAGCCGCTACTTTATCCACTAAGTAAACTAAAGATCTGCTATCAAGACAACTATCTCCAGCCACTACTTTATCCACTAAGTAAACTAAAGATTTGCTATCAAGTCAACTATATTACCTCCAGCCGCTACTTTATACACTAAGTCAAAATTTGCACATTTTCTTAAAGAAATAGACCGATTGTTTTCTGGTATTTCAAAATCCAAGATGGAGGAAGACACCCTATCTACCTTAAGACAACTATATTACCTCCAGCCGCTACTTTATCCACTGTAGTACCCTTCTTATGTGCCATAAAACCAAGGACAGCAAAAATGACAAAACCAGCGTAAAAACTTGTCAGACAGTTGATGAGAGGTACTAGGAAGGAATCCCTGAAATGATAAAATCCGTCACTGTATCAGTCTCAAGCTAATATAAATCACGAATCAGTCTCAATCTAATATCAGTCACCAAATCAGTCACTGAATCAGTCTCAAGGTCATGTTTTTCTCTGACTGTTTATGACGTCTTTACACGAATTCCATTGGCTGTTGGATGTGAACTGATTGATAATTTAGTCTTAGATGCATGATTTTTTTATTAGTTGTTATTGGCTTTGAACTAGCTGTCAGTAACTGCGAGTACTCTCAGATCTGTACTTAGTGTCTTTTTGTTGTTGGTATGTAATAGTTCCCGGCCATGTCCACTCTGTGCTTTTGTTAGATGTATGTCTATTTGTATCCATCTGATGAGTTAAGCCTTTTTCAACTGATTTTTATAGTTCGTTCTTATGTTGTAATGTTACACCACTGTCCCAGGTTAGGGGGAGGGCTGGGATCCCGCTAACAAGATTAACCCCGCCACATTCTGTATGTATGTGCCAGTCCCAAGTCAGGATCCTGTAATTCAGTGGTTGTCGTTTGTTGTTGTGTTACATATTTATTTTTCTTTCATTTTTTTTGTACATAAATTAGACCGTTAGTTTTCTCGTTTGAATTGTTTTTACATTTGTCATTTCGGAGCCTTTTATAGCTGACTATGCGGTATGGGCTTTGTTCATTGTTGAAGGCCGTACGGTGACCTGTATTTGTCAATTTCTGTGTCATTTGGTCTCTTGTGAAGAGTAGTCTCATTGGCAATCATACCACATCTTCTTTTTTTTATATCAAGCTAATATTAGTCATTGAATCAGTCTCAAGTTATTACCAGTCAATGAACCAGTCTCAAGCTGATACATGTACTAATCACTGAATCAGTCTCAAGCTAATTTTAGCCACTGAATCATTCTAAACCTAGTATCAGTCACTGAATCAGTCTCAAGCTAATATCAGTCACTAAACAAGTTTTCACTTGGTGAATTTCAGTTCCTATTATACTATATGTGTCTTTGAGTCCGTCGGCTCAAGAAAAATCCCAGTATCACATTGAATAATTTCTTAACCCCAAATTGTTTTATTTTGACTTAGTATGGATTCGCATGGCAGTAGATACAAGCATATCAGGAGACATCCAACGTTCGATTTTGTAACAACAAATGGAAGTTTTTATCAGTTCTTTTTGTTGTTTTTATAAAGGGACGAACACCACTACTAACCGTGTATTAAAATAAACCACGCCTACTAACGCCATATTAAATATACAGGGTCTCCACGCGGTCGCATTTAACCAATGATATTTCTTAGAAATGTGTAGGAGGTAAGATAATGAACAATACACGATACCTCAGAATATTGTTGCTGAATTTGTTGTAACTGGCCATAGCAATAAGTCCGCCTGAGCATGCGCTAAGTGAATAAAAAATCTGAACAGCAGCATCACTCCATACCTGTAATATACGATGACACATCAAATGTCGATTTATGGAATTTTTTGTAAAATTATAATTTAATTTTGTAATTTGAAAAAAAAAAACAGAACCATTAGAACACCAGAAAAATGATTTTTCATAGCTTCAGACACAATAAAATTTCTATAATGTATAACGAATCAAGATATATGATATATTAAGAATAAAAACAGAAAAAAAACCACAGAAAATCACGAAAAACACGACTCAACAGAAGCGAACACTGGGTCATAAAAGGTTGTTCGAGAAGAACGCCTTATTCTTGCTCTCCCTGAGACTCTATACCATAACACCTTAATTCGTGTGGTATTTAAAAGTGTTAAAATGCTTCAAGTAATTACAATCTGGTAGTTTTAAGCCAAATTGTGGTTTTCATATTCATGTTTATAAAATAAAGACTTACTTCCCTTAGATCAAATAAATATATCTGACATATGTAAAATGAGTAACATTGACGATGATGTCATAACAGAAAGAGACAGATACACACCTTCATAGATATAAGGAGATGTGGTATGAGTGCCAATGAGACAACTCTCCATCCAAGTCACAATAGATATAAGAAGATGTGGTATGAGTGCCAATGAGACAACTCTCCATCCAAGTTACAATTTATAAAAGTAAACCATTATAGGTCATAGTACGGTCTTCAACACGGAGCCTTGGCTCACACCGAACAGTAAGCTATAAAGGGCCCCAAAAAATTACTAGTGTAAAACCATTCAAACGGGAAAACCAACGGTCTAATCTATATAAAAAACGAGAAACGAGAAACACTTATGAACCACATCAACAAACGACAACTACTGAACATCAGATTCCTGACTTAGGACAGGTGCAAACAAATGCAGCGGGTTTAAACGTTTTAATGGTACCAAACCTTCACCCTTTTTCTGAAACAATAGTGTAACATCACAACATAGAAAGACACATATATAGAGGGAGCTCAGAGGCTGTGTAAAAAATGTCTACTCTACATTTGATGGAAATGAACAACACTTTATTATTAAAATTTCAGAGTAGAGATATTTTTTCAAAAACATAAACAAAGTGTGGCTCAAACATTCAGCACTCTCTAATGGGGTTAAATTTTTGTGGTTTTTCACCAATCTGTTTACTGAAATATCTAAGTAACCATAGTTAATTTTTTTTGGATGTAATACAAAATGTGAATAAGCATACAGCTAGAATGGTTATTGCAACTGGTTTTATGGTTCTCGTTCTGTTTTGAATAATATGTTGGTGATTTATATGAGATATAACGAGAATGTCAGGCAAATATGAACAGTTTATATTTCATTTCTTTGTGCCATTGTGTTAGTTTACGCAGTTTGTTTATCAGCGAACTGGCTCATCATATAATATTGAGTCTAGACAATAAATGACTTAAGTATAAAACGAAAGCAATAATCATGATAATTTAAGATTGTGCTTCTGATATCTTAGACTTAATACTTTCAAAAATTTAATAACAAAAAGGTTTGCATAATATTTTGTCAAATCTTGAAAAATAAAGTAGCAAATGGCGAATTATATCATTGTTTTGTTCTTCAGAATTTTCATTAATGGAGTTTAGTATTTATAACTTTCTCCCAAACTCTGCATGCATCTACACCGGTTCTTACAAGTTTGATACACATTGATAAACAATAAGGTGATTGGCTGAATTGATAGGACAAATAGAGACCCCTCTTTAATTATAACCAATAGTTACATGTTATTACATTGTCATGGATGTCTCTAAAAGTAGCATTTTTTCTTTAAAAAATCCTTGTACCAAGTCAGGAATATGACAGTTGTTTTCCATTCGTTCCTTTGACTGATAACGTTTGATTTTGTAAGTTTTTCCTTTTGAATTTACCTTGGAGTTAGGTATTTTTGTTATACTATTTTCGCAACTTTAATTTGTTATAACGACTGAACGGTTTTCGTTAAGATTACTTTGGTTTTCATTTAAAGTCTTACTATTGCTATAGAATTTAAACAAAATATCCTTGTAAATATCTGTTAAATGTTAAACTTCTATCCCATGTGGGTATGCTCCGATGTAAAACGGAGGATCATAGCTGCACAGAATAGAACAGAACAGACTCTTGATTACTCACATCAGCCTGGGTAAGTTTACTCCAGTCCGGTGTTAGGTAGAATTTGATTCCTTCTTGATATCCCTCTAGCGTTAATCCACGGACCAACAGAATGGTTAACAGGATATAAGGAAACGTTGCAGTAAAATATACAACCTACAAAACACATTAAAATATACAACCTACAAAACACATTGAAATATACAACCTACAAAACAAGGTTAATTGTTTAATGATTCAGAAATAATGGTGACATTTAGGAAAGAATGAAAATATATCGTCTCAAAATGAAAAAAAGACTGTTTTAAAAGATGCAATCTTCAGTTGGTAGTTATGTGACCTCGTGAACACAAAACACTAGTTAAAAGTTGTCTGACCTCGTAAACACAAAAAATCAGTTGAAAGTTGTCTGACCTCGTGAACACAAAACATCAGTTGAAAGTTGTCTGACCTCGTGAACACAAAACATCAGTTGAAAGTTGGCTGACCTCGTGAACACAAAACATCAGTTGAAAGTTGGCTGACCTCGTGAACACAAAACATCAGTTGAAAGTTGTCTGACCTCGTGAACACAAAACATCAGTTGAAAGTTGTCTGACCTCGTGAACACAAAACACTAGTTGAAAGTTGTCTGACCTCGTGAACACAAAACACGAGTTGAAAGTTGTCTGACCTCGTGAACTCAAAACATCAGTTGAAAGTTGTCTGACCTCGTGAACACAAAACACTAGTTGAAAGTTGTCTGACCTCGTGAACACAAAACACTAGGTGAAAGTTGTCTGATCTCGTGAACACATATTTGTTTTTCGTTCATTTTTTGTACATAAATTAGGCCGTTAGTTTTCTCGTTTGAATTGTTTTACATTGTCATTTCGGGGCCTTTATAGCTGACTGTGCGGTATGGGCTTTGCTCATTGTTGAAGGCCGTACGGTGACCTATAGTTGTTAATTTCTGTGTTATTTGGTCTCTTGTGGGGAGTTGTCTCATTGGCAATCATACCACATCTTCTTTTTTTATAATAAAAAAAGGCAAGACCGAATAGAGTGAAAAAATAAAAAGGCAGGACAGAGATTTCAACAAATAAAAATGCAGGACAAAATTTTTCATCCTAGAATGTGTTGCCTATATAAAGGGTTATGATTTGGACACGCATATATTAGAATAACGTCACGTCATTAGTCTAATATGAATGAAAGAATAGTGTTAACCAATCATAACAATTTGTGTACGATTTAAAGAATGCACAAAATATTTAAAGAATGCACAAAATATTTAAAGAATGCACTAGTTTCTGAAACGCATTCTTTATGTGCCTAAGTTAGGAGGTTGTAATTCAGTGGATCTTCTTTTTTATTTGTTTCTCGTTTATGATTTTTAGGTATAAATTAGGTTGTTCGTTCTCTCTTTAGAATTGCTACATCATTTGTCATACCCGGTCCTTGTACAGCTTACTTTACGGTGTTTGTTTTGCTCTTTGTTGAAGGACGTTCAGATTTCTATTGTTGATAGCACCCTTGTCCCTTGATCTCTGGTGTAGGTTTGTCTCGTTGGAAATCGTACCATGTTTACTTATTTTTATAATCAATGAAATACCTTTCCAAGAAATTCAATTCTCTTTGAGAGGACAATAAATAATATTGCCCACAAATCTAAGTTACAAAGAGCTAGTTCCTACCTTTCCAAGAGATTTAATTCCCTTTAAGAGGACAATAAATACTATTGCCCACATAGCTAGGTTACAAAAAGATTTAATTCTCTTTGAGATTAAAAATAAATACTAATGCCTTCATAGCTAGGTTACAAAGGACTAGTTCCTACCTTTCCAAGAGATTCAGTTCCCTTTGAGTGGACAATACATACTATTGCCCACATAGCTAGGTTACAAAGGGCTAGTTCCTACCTTTCCAAGAGATTCAGTTTCCTTTGAGAGGTCAATAAATACTCTTGTCCACACAGCTGAGTAACAAGGGCTAGTTCCTACATTTTCAAGAGATTTAATTCCCTTTGAAATGAAAAATAAATACTATTGCCCACATAGCTAGGTTACAAAGGGCTAGTTCCTACCTTTCCAAGAGATTTAATTCCCTTTGAGAGGACAATAAATACTATTGCCCACATAGCTAAGTTATAAAGAGCTAGTTCCTACCTTTCCAAGAGATTTAATTCCCTTTGAGAGAACAATAAATACTACTGCCCACAAATCTAAGTTACAAAGAGCTAGTTTCTACATTTCCAAGAGATTTAATTCCCTTTGAGAGGACAATAAATACTATTGCACACACAGCTAAGTTATAAAGAGCTAGTTCCTACCTTTCCAAGAGATTTAATTCCCTTTGAGAGAACAATAAATACTACTGCCCACAAATCTAAGTTACAAATAGCTAGTTTCTACTTTTCCAAGAGATTTAATTCCCTTTGAGAGAACAATAAATACTATTGCCCACATAGCTAGGTTACAAAGGGCTAGTTCCTACCGTTCCAAGAGATTTAATTCCCTTTTAGAGAACAATAAATACTTTTGCTCACGTAGCTAGGTTACAAAGAGCTAGTTCCTACCTTTCCAAGAGATTTAATTCCCTTTGAGAGGACAATAAATACTATTGCCCACACAGCTAAGTTACAAAGGGCTAGTTCCCATTTTATTCCTTCCGGGTATTCCAAACCTCCGGAAATTTCCAGGACTTTATTGCTGCAAATGTAAATCCCGAAAAATGTAGTCAAATCCAATACAGCTGGTGTATTTATGTCAACACGCAAATTTTACACAAAAACAATTTTTCTTTTCAATAAGGCAAATTTGCGAGATGTTGGCTTTCCTTATAATTGCAACAAATGCGACATTTTACTTACACGATATCAGACAGAAAATATTTTTTTTTTTACAAGCTGCGAAGAACAAAATAATTTCAATGCTACCATATTTTGAATTAATTTTTATTGTCAATGATGTGTACAAATAAAGTAATATTTGTTAAGAAATTTCATACACGTTTTGTGAACTGTTTGACATAATTGGAAAACACATAAACACTGTCTTTGCTTAAGCTTTTTACTGGCATATTTTAATGACTACATGATATCGTCTTATACAAAGCACTGATACAAAGTTTATATACAAACACTTCAAAATATATTATGGACGAATAATCTGATATCATTGAGAAATTTATTTTAAACTAATTTTGTGTCTTCATTGGCATTATGACAAAGAGGACAGTACTTAATTAATGTTAAGTTGGAGTATATAAATTCGTCAGTAAAATATCAAGCTGGGTAATTAGTAAAAATTTGTATCACCCCGTGAAAGAAGGTTTGTGTCAAAATACTGATTACTTGTACGAAAACCATGTACAAATTATAATTCATAAAAAATTACAACTTTTACATAACATAAACATATTCAAATTATAAAAGAATTGATAGAATGACTGATTGACAGATAATAATATTAAAGTTTATTGAACTCAACAAATTCGGTATATAACATCAGTGGATTTAATTTCTGGTGAATGTGCCAACCGATCAGTTGTCCGTGCAGTGGTATTTGTCTAAGGTTAGCACGTGTACAAAACAGAGTTAAAATTCCTCATGCAAAACCTGACATTATAGAAATATAAGACAAACATTTTAAATTTTGTTATCCCATGTTATATTAAAGGTTTCGGAATACATCTTATCTCCTTTTGTTCCTATATATATATATATATATATTCAAACTAAATACTGTCTTTCATTTTATTACAGTGGGCGCCATTAGTGAAGCAGGAACTGTTGATCCTTCCGGTTCAATCCTGCTTTTGTTGGAAATTGTGATGCCAGATCTTAAATTTCTGTGTGTTTTTGTTGACTTTGATTTCTTTTTGTCGTTCTTATTTTGACCATGGCGTGTGTTATTTTCGACGGTTGGGTGTTTTAATGTTCCCATTGTTTCATCTCCCCCTTTTTTATTTAACGCAATCATACTTAAAATATTCGTCACTGGCCGAAACCGTCTTGTTATCGCTGTAGGTAAAGTTTGCTGAAATTGTAATAAATAAGGTGATTAAAAACTATGCTTAAATAAGGCTAATCAATGGTTGAGAAACAGAAAATGGACAAAAATGATGGAATAGGAAATATAATTCGTCAGAGCTACAATATATACTACTTAACTGTGTTCTTGGTACATGAAATTTATGTGTGATTGTTTTATTGGTGAACCTTGAACTGTTTATTAGATATTGTCCCTAAAGAAACAGAAATGTGTTAGTCATTCTTTTAATGCCTCAAGTTTAGAACAAGAATTGTAACGTTTCAGTACCTAACGTAAAAAAGTATAACAAAAGTACCGAACTCCAAGGTAAATTAAAATAAAAAAGGAAAGTCCATAAAAACTGAGGAAATCAAACTTTATTAACCAACAGGACGACCAAAAAAATGACTGTCACATTCCTGACTTGGTACATGCATTATACGAAGAAAATGGCGCGTTAACCTGGTTTTATAGTAAGGTAGAAGGTAATATTGAATCCATGTTTTTTTTTATAAGACTCTTGTAATGTCGGGGCATTTAATATACTTACGGAATGGGTTTTTGTTTTTATATCAAAATCATTTGGACTAGTTATTATGATGGATAGTTGTCTCATTGGCGACTATATATATACTGCATCTCTGTTTTGTTTTTTTGTTTTTTATTGCATAGATAGATTGATTTTTGTTTGCCTAACGTCCATTGGCGAACATTACATGCATGTACAGGACGATATACATATTACAAAGATTAAATGTACAATTGAAAAAGTTTTAAGATTAGCATGACCTTATTTTTGTAATAAAGAAAGACTGCATGCTGTTTAGTTGGTGAGTATTTGTAATAAAGAAAGACTGCATGCTGTTTAGTTGGTGAGTATTTGAACCGTATTTGTTTCACTCACAGTCCAGAAAAAGAGGGAGCAGTTATCGAGAGGGATAAAAAAAAATCATAAGTCGTAAGATAAAACTCAATGACCAAATAGAAAAATGAGTAACAGATAAATAAAGATCCAGCAACACAAACACGCCAAACAAAAAAGAAACCGGGGACAATTATTTGAATATGAATGTATACATAAAATTCCATTGTAAATATATCGGGAATGGTTGATAAATTTCAGTGTATCAAAAACAATCACACCCCCCCCCCCCCCCCCCCCTCCTGCTCCTTTTAGACAGTGTAATCTGTGTTTATATATTAACTTAGACTGTTGGGTTGCTACTTACTTGGGGTTAACCCTACAACTCTTTGACCTGTAACGTGAATAGTATTTGATCTGATATAATTGATATACAACAGATTTTTGTATAGAAATGTTTTATTCATAGCCTATATTAAGGGATTCCTTGGTTTAATGGATACTCACCACAGTCTGGCCTCGAGGCATTCCGTGGATCCATAAGTGAGAAATTAAACGTTTGATAACCGTCCTGACAAGCACATGTATTCCATGAGTTATCACAATATTTCCAGGGAACTTCCGCCGCCATGGAAGCGAAGAAGAAGTATATACAGTATGCAATGATCACGGCATAATATATGGCGATCAGGGAAGATACTATTATCATGGCAAATCCAAGACCTATAAAACAAGAATGACTGATAATATTTATTCGTACAGTGCTATAGAGTGTGTGTTTCGATAACAAAGCTGTAGAATTCACGATTTAGATATCACAAATGTAGAGCGCGGGATTCAGATATCATAAATGTAGATCGGAATTTAGGTATCACAAATGTATAGAGCGAGGGATTCAGATATCACGTCAGGAAAGCGCGGGATTTAGAAAACACGTCAGTAGAGCAAGGGATTTATATAAGACGTCAGTCGAGCGCGTGATTTAGAAAACACGTCAGTCGAGCGCGGGATTTAGATAACACGTCAGTCAAACGCGGGATTAGATAACACGCAAGTCGAGCGCGAAATTAAGATAACACGACTAAAGAGCGTGGGATTTATGTAACACGTTTGGAGAGCGCGGGATTTTGATTACTCAGAGCTGCAGTGAACGTGATTTAGATTACTAAGCTATAATAGTTGATTTGATTGAGATTTCACAAAACAATTGAAGAAAGTGTGATTTAGATAACACTTCTTTGGTGAATGTGAATAACACAAATGTAGGGCGCGAAAGGATGACACAGCTTTAGAGCACGTGATTATTTACACAGCTGAAGAGCGAGATTTGGATGACACAGCTGTAGAGCACGTGTTTAGATAACACAGCTGTAGAGCGAGATTTGGATGACACAGCTGTAGAACGCATGCTTTAATTACACAATTGTGGAGCACGAAATTTAAATTACTTTAAACGACTGACTAATCCTTCAGTGCGGGATTGATCCTTAAGACGACTGACTTACCCTTCAGGGCGGGATTGATCCATTAGACGACTTACTAACCCTTCAGTATGGCCGCGATCCTTTAGACGACTGACTAACTCTTCACTGCAGGATTAATCGTCTTACCTTTAAGAGGCTGTTCCCGTTATAAAGGAAATGGGCAATTAACTTACCTTTTAGTGCGGGATTGATCCTTTAGATAACTTACTTACCCTTTAACGCGGGATTTGGCCTTTGTCTTTGTCCTATAGACGACTGACTTACCTTTCAGTGTGGGATGAATTCTTTACACGACTGACTCACCCTTCAGTGCGGGATTGATCATATAGACGACTGACTTGCCCTTTAGTGCGGGATTAATCCTTTCAATAACTGACTTACCCTTCAGTGCGGGATTAATCCTTTCAATAACTGACTTACCATTCAGTGCGGGATTAATCCTTTAATCGACTGAATTACTCTTCAGTGCGGGATTGATCCTATAGACGACTGACTTGCCCTTCAGTGCGGGATTAATCCTTTCAATAACTCTGACTTACCCTTCAGTGCGGGATTAATCCTTTCAATAACTGACTTACCCTTCAGTGCGGGATTGATCCTGAATACTTTGATCGGTCCTAAACTTGCAAATTGTCCCAAACATAACTCCAAATAAAATAACGGTATTCCGATGAAGACGAGACATATGAAATATGGAATCAGAAAAGCACCTAAAATAGAAAAAATAGGAATATAATATTGGCGATGTAAGCACAAACGAATATGTTAACACCTGATATTTTTCATGAAAGAATATGTGAACAATTGACATTTTTAACAAACTGTTATGTTCCAAATGATATTTTCATGCAAGGGTTTGTTAAAACCAGATATATTCTTTGTACATGAATATTCCGTCAACAGATGTCTTTGGCGTTTGATATAGTGATCCGATAATTTTCTTTAACTTTTGAAAGTAATATGTATAATAGATGTCTTAACGTATTACTTACCGCCACCATTTTTAAAACACAGATATGGAAAACGCCAGACGTTACCCAAGCCGACAGCAAAGCCAACACAGGTCAGAATAAATTCTAGCTGACTTCCCCAGTTCGCTCTAGCCTTTCCCTGTCAATTCAAAACAAGAAATATTTACAATTACTGATAAAAAGACATGATTGTACCAAACGAAGTGCAAAGCCAACACAGGTCAGAATAGTTATAGCTTATATCCCAAGTAGCCCTAGGCTACTCCTGGAAAAACACAAGATAACACAGTCATGATCAGTGATTATGGGAAAAGCCGGCCAACAGATAATCCAACAACCAGCAAAGTCAACAAAGGTTAAAATATTTCTAGAAAAATCCCTAGTTTTTCGTAACCTTTCCCTGTAAGTACAACACATAGGCATGTACAGATAACAAATACACAGGATATTTCACACACAAAGCAAAGAGCAAAGCCTACACTGGTTAGATTCTAGTTTATGTCCCCAGTTTGCCCTAGCATTAACCCTGTAAAATAAAAACATAGACATAATCAGATGTGGAATACGCCAGACGTTACACACATGTACCCAAACCAACAGCAAAGCTAACATAGGTTTGGGTTTTTCTCATTGTTGAAGGCCATACGGTTGCCTATAATTGCTTACATCCACTTCATTTTAACTTTAGTGAATAGTTGTCTCAATGGCAATCATACCACGTCTCCTTTTTTTTTTTATCTAGCTTAGAATAAGGTCTAACTGACTTCCCGAGTTCACTCCAGCTTTTCCCTGTCAATTCATAACACTTTATGATCAGATGTTGAATACGCCAGACGTTACCAAAAACCAAAATGCAACAAAGTCAACAAAGGTTAGAATGAACTCTAACTGACCTCCCTAATTTCCCCGATATTTTTACAGTAAAATAAAACAATAACTTCCCCAGTTTGCACAAGCTTTAAATTACTTTCTTTGTAACTGGATCAGATAAGTAAAATGCCTGACGGCACAAAAACTAACCAGCTCTAAGCCAACACAAATAAGAATGAACTTAAACTGACTTCCCCGGTTTGCCCTTACCTTTCCCTGTTAAAGCAAAAAACATGCATTATGAGACGCAGAAAACGCTAGCTTATACCCAAATTAGATTAAAAGCCTTAAAGCCGTCAACAAATGTTGAAGAAAAACAGACAACAATATGTCCGGACGAATAGGTATGAATAAAAGGAGAAGGGATATACTAGTATGTCAGCGAGACAGCAACCGAACGACATCCTTTGTTTTAAATTTAAACATCAGCATGGATTCAAACCAGAAAGCATGCAACCACGCCATTTGTAGACAGCGTATAAACAAAATGTTGGCTTATTTTAAGCTGTGATGCAACATTGTCTGATTTGATTCTATTATTTTTAATTATTTTCAATTTTATGTATTGTCATGTACATGAGTGGAGCCTTTGATCCTCTTACTGATGCAATTTGAGCATGAAGAATAAAGTAAAGTTAATCATTTTTTTGTTTATTTAAAATCGTAAAACTTAAGATTAAACTGTTGCTGCACTGTCTTATTTGATAGTATAAATTAATCCGACATGCAAGGTCATAATGTAAAGTAAAAACAAACTTTCCATCACGAGGCTACAAATCCAGGTCAAGGTACATCCTGTACAATGACGAAATATATTTAACTTAAAAGTGTTTTCGTCAAAGCAAAGTATTTTGTAGACTTAATGTATATACAGTTACCCCGTCGTTGTGAAGGAGGGAACCAGTTTGATTTAGGATGTTTATAGACATGTCTTAGTTACATGGAAACATTAGTTTTGTCGTCGTGAAATAGGTTAGGACATTGATTTCTATTTTTCTCACCATTTTTTTTTTTGTCATTTTGTTTTTGTTTTTGTTTATGTTCATGTCTTATTTTAATCTATTGTATTAAATAAATTTTAAGAGATTCTAAAAAAAACCTTAAAAAAGATAAAACAGACAACTTAACTTTATTTTTTTTTAGACAAATACATGTATAGGGGGACTTCAACTCACTTTAACAGGTGTGATAACATAAAGATTTGTACCGACCGACATATTTTCTATAGATATTTTTAAACGACAGCTTATCTATGTTATTGATAAATAATCAGCACTATACACAGGTAAAAAGGGATTTTTGGTCACGATTTATGCAAAATAATATTCTTTAACAAACTTTTTTTAAGTAGTAATCTATGTCTTTTCATTTTTTTTAAAATTTTTTTTTTTACTTTTTTCACATTGCTTTGTTTTTTACTTTGTTTGTTTGTTTTGTTTAGTTTTGGTTTGTTTTTGTTTTTGTTTTTTTTTAATTTAGTTTTTAAAAAAATTAGGCGATGTGGTTTAATATCCACTTAGACAACTATCCACCATAGGACGTGAATGTAAACAACTATAGGCCACAGTATGGCCTTCAACAATGAGCAAAACCCGTTTACATACGGTATAGTTTTCTAATTAATTGTTTTTGCATATGAACTAATTTCTCATGTATGGGTCTGTGATTCTTGTGTAATGTTTTGTTTTCTGTAACTTTTTCTATTTTAAGAATATTTCATATACATGAAAAAATGTAGAGGAATAAACATCAAATGTAATTTACAAAACAACTTAGTGTTATAAATATCGATCTATTGGTAGCCATTGTTTTGTTTTGTTTGACTTATCTCAGGTGATCAATATAATCGCACCTATATTCCGACGCTATCTTTTATTTTGAATTTCAAAATGAAACGCATAATATAACCTTGAATGACAAAAAATATCATAAAGGACTTCAACAGAAATTTACACGGCAGTTGTTTTCCATCCGTTTGAAGTGTTTGAGCTTTTGATTTTGCCATTTGATAAGGGGCTTTCCGATTTGAATTTTCCTTGGAGGTCGGTATTTTTGTTATTTTACTTTTTACACGTTCATGAAAGCAAAACAAGAACGATAAGCAAAAACGTCTTCAGTCGACAGATGACCCCAGAACATGATGAGTAGACAAACAGTTGCCCATTTTCAAATCACCGAATTTTGACTCCGGAGTTTATAATTTTTTGACAGGTTACCTACATAGTGGGTAGTGTAAAGCGAAATATTGTCATATGGAACATTGTCCCCCAAGACAATATTTCATGAACAGTATCATGAAATATTGTCCTCATCTATGAAAAAAATGTCCAGAAAAGATAAATTTCCATTATGAAATTTTGTCTTTATATAGACAATATTTCATAGATGAATACATTTT